CTTTCTGATTGGTGTGATCCCTGCTGCCCTCTCCCACTCCCCGCCCTCCCCAACACACACAAGGGAGCCTTCCTGCAGGCCAGGGTCAATGCCATGCTGGGTGTGGTATTCTGTGATGCTCCCCAACGACACAGAGCGCAACATAGGCGGTCACACACCTCTATGGCCCCCCGTGTCCTCCTCCTACTCTCCTGTTCCCGAGCCTGCCTTCTGCCTTTCATGCTCTGGGGGAACTTGGCAAGTCAGCCGGCAGCCAGATGAACGTCCTGCCTTAAGTTTTCTCTAAAATAGCTGGCAGGATGAAAAGGAAATGAAGAGTTTGTTTCTTCGATCGAGGCCAAGGAGGTAGGTTGAGAAGTTTGCGTTCCAAGGGACATTCTGCTGCAAAGGAAATGGTACCTGGGAAGGGGACGTCTGTGGACAAGACGGGGAGCAGAGTCAGACATCCCCGACTTGTATAAATCACACAGAGTGCTGGACAGAAAGATCAAACATTTAGCCTTTCGATGTGAGGTGTATATCATGTTTACGGCAACATTTTCCTTCTGGAAGGTTCAGATGGTAAGTCTGGATGAACAACGCATGGCTAGCCGTGCAGCCGTGTGTTTGTCAGGTTGTGGGGGACTGGGCACAGGACTCGAAAGTGCAGTGTCAGTCAGTAGATTCGATCTGTGCTGCCAAGAATAAGCCACCTCCAAACACAGCCCACACCTGCATGGAATTAATTCCAGCTCTCTACGTGCGATGGGGGAGGAAGCATGAGCTTAATCTGTATCGTATGTCTCGGAAAAGCTCCAGACAGACACCAGCTTGCAGTGAGAAATGAGGATTTTTCAGTTCCTAATGTTTAAAGGGTAACATTTCCTTCGTTTCATAAAACAGAATGAAAGCCTTTTTCAGGACCTGTTTTTAAAGGAAATCTTGAGGGAGTGACTTCTGTAGGCATTGGCTGCTGTAAGGAAAAAAAGATACCAGCAAGTGGAAATATTTTGCCTCAGATCCCATGGTCTGTTAAAGACAGTCCCAGTTTGACATGGTGCATAGGCAAGTTGTTTAAAGAGAGACATAAAAAGCCTCAGCATGAGGGAATCCATGGGAAAAGAGCTGGCAGGCTCTGCAGATATCTGAAATTTACATGCAAAGTATTGAGTACGGGTGCATTTTCTGGGGGTTCATAGTTTTTATCAGATTCTCAAATAAGTCCATCACCCGGAAAAGTTTAGGACATGTTTGCTGCCTTCCCCCAATGTAAATCCGAGACAGGTTAGAAAAACAACTGTGGAAGAACTCTCAACAGTCAATAAAATAAACAGAAGAGACTAGAGGTAGACCTTGACTGATAGTGAAATGGAAGGGGACTTTGCAAGCACAAAGAAGGGGGAGAATTCACACAAAAGACAAATACATTTAATAGGCAAAACTGGAATTCCTTTTACACCCCAAAATATCATAAATAAAATTTAAAGGTAAGCCAGGGAAAGGTTTGCAATAAATACTGGAAGAGGGCAAATGCTCTTGGTAAGAGGATGAACTCTTACGAATCGGAAAGAACAAGTCTCTCCCAAATAGAAGAATGTACGCCAAGAGCAGGAACAATTCACGGAACAAATACAGTCAGTAGCAGCTCCATGCTGGAGCTGGCTGGTCCAAGATCATGTCAGCCAATTCTCTACTTCTCATTTGGTGACATTATGTTGATGGCCTGAAATTGGCCATGGTGGGATTTTTTACAGCAGAGAAATCACTGACAGATCAAGGCTTTTTTGTTTTTCAAGGGGCAATTTAGTGTTACACCATTAGTTAACAGATATGTAAAATGCAGTCTAAGTGTGCCAGTAATCAGAGAGATACAGAATGAGATGAGGTCTGGACAAGATGGAATAAGCCCCCTTCACACCATACCTCCCGCAAATTACAACACAAAAGTCTGGAGAAAGTCCATAGAGCAACTGAGACTCTGAAAGTTGGAGAAAAAAATAAATGGACTGGCTGTCAGACCTCAGAACTCAAGAAACTACCCAAAAGTGAGCTCTTGTTTTTGTTTTTTGTTGTTTTTATGTCTTGGTCTGTGCTCTGGAGAGGTTCCTGGTCTGGAAATGCCAGTATCACCAGAGCAAAAGGAGGCCCAAGGAAGGCCTTCTGGCTGCAGCCAATAGTTGGGGAACAGGGTGACTCAGTAAGAGCGAAATATCTTGACTGTATCCGACCTTACTCCAGTTCCAGGTGGGGAGCAGAAAAAGACATCCCCTCTGCCCCCAATTGGTCACCACATCCTGGAGATGGCAGAGCCCTGCTTCCCAATCCTGCTTACTATAACAGGCCACATCTCTTCCCTGGAACAGAGACTGTGGGCTAAACTTTTCAGTAGATTTCCAATCACCACAGAGGCCAGAAGGAAGAGGAACATTTTTCATATGTCCAAAAAAAAATAGTCAACCAAGAATTCTATATCCAGTGAAAATATCCTTCAGGAGCAAAGGTGAAATAGACATCTTTGGATGAAGGAGAAACAAAGGAGCATGTCACCAGTGGACCTGCTTTAACAGAATAGTTAATGTTTCTCAGACAGGAAAGAACTGATAACAGAAAGAAACTGAGAATATCAGGAAGAAAGGAAGATGAGAAAGGGTGGAAAAATGAGTAGAGGTAGTAGACGGGTCTTCAGTTTCAGAACTTGGTTTTAAGCAACTCTGCTTCATGGTTGAAAGCAAAATTATAGCATCTGAAGTGGTTCTGAGTGCACATAAAGGTAACACTTAAGACATCTATGTGATAAAGGGAGAAGATAAAGAGGCCTCAAAGGGGGTAATGTTTTTACACTTGAAGTGACAACATACCGATACTAGTAGACTGTGATAAATTACATCCATATGGTATAACCTTTAGAGCACCAGCTATTCAGTCAGGTGATTTTGTCCACCAGGGGACATCTGGCGAAGTTCAAAGACATGGTTCCATGTGCAACTGCCATCTTGGTAGAAACGAAGATGCTGCTAAGTGTTCCACAACACACACAACAGTCCCATAGAACAAAATGTTACCCAGCCCCAAATGCCAACAATGCTGAGGTTGCGAAAGCCTGCCCTATGGCAAATTACACAAAGACATATCTTAAAACACTGTAGATCAATCAACAGGGAACACTGAAAAATGTTCAACCAACCTATAGGAATTCAGGAAAGAGGAGCACAATAAACAAAAATCAGAGGGAACAAACAATATTAAAAAGGTAGACAGGTTCTAACACACCCATAATTGCATTAAAAGTAAGTGATCTAAACACACTTATTAAAAGACAGTGACTGACAGAATGGATGACCCAGCTACATGTGGTCTCTGAGAAACTCATTTTCAATACAATGACATAGGAAAGGTAAGAGTAGAAAGGTGGGAAAAGACACATCTTGCAAACATGAATCAAGAGAAAACTGAAGTGGGTATATGAGGATGAGATAAAGTAGACTTTAGAACAAAAGTAAATACCAGAACTAAAGAGGGCCAGGACATAATGACAAAAGAGTCCATTCACCAAGAAAACACAACAATCTTAACTGTGTACCACAAACACCAGAGCTTCAACATGCATGAAGGAAAAACTGATGGACTGAAAAGAGACACATTCATCATTGAAGACATCAACATCCCCTTTGAGTAAGCGACAGAACCACTAGACAGAAAAAAATGAGTTTTGTTTTTTTTTTTAAATATCAATTTGACAAAGCTTTGAAATGGTAAGACTTAGAACCAGCAAAGTCATGGAGACAGAGATGCTCTGTAATAATGTAGAAATACAAATATACATAGGGGTCCTGAAAAAATATTTAATTTATATGTTAAGAGGCTTAAAAGGATTATAGCACTTTTCAACCCAATACTTTCATTTTTAGAAAGTTCTCCTAAGGGAATAATTAAAGTGTCCCAAAATTTGTCTGTCTACATCTTCACAACAGAACTAATTTTAATAGAACTTAGAAACATCCAAACTTGCCCACTAATTGGCAAGTGCTTAAAAAACTATTCTACCTACATATATAGTGCTATTGTTAAAGAGACATGTTTAAGAATTTTTAGTGCTGTGGTAAATAGGAATGATCTTCAGGCAAAAAAGTAGTCTGTAAAGCAATGTACATACAGAATAATCTAATTATGTTAAAAATACACGTGAAATTCTTAAATACAACAATTACTAGAAGTATGACAATGATAACAGGGTTATCAGGGATTATGTCTCTGTGTTTTGCATGTGCTTGTTTTTACTTTCTGCCCACCTCAAATTTTAATCCTGAAGTGATGTCTTATTCATGGTCATAACAAACAGAAACCATCAACTTCCAAAACAGCATAAAAATGAGATAGATGACAGATATGGAGGATGTAATACTGTGCTGCGTCTGGGAGGGAGAGACTTGATGGATGGTAAAAGTCTTGTGAGTCATTTTGAAAATAAAAAAAGGGTAAGAAAGTATGCCCACCAATATTCCTGAGTGACCACCTTTTTTTGTTTTTAAATATTTTACTTATTTGGGGGAGAGAGAGAGAGCACAACCAAGCAGGGGCAGAGGGAGAAGGAGAAGCAGACTCCCCACTGAGCAGGGAGCCCGATGCGGGGCTCAGGACCCTGAGATCACCACCCAAGCTGAAGACAGATGCTTAACGACTGAGTCCCCCTCCCCACCCCGACCCCTGAGGTGACCATCTCTGATTTATTGTGCAGACCCTATTAGTAGCAGCATCCTGTTCTTCTGAGAGTTTGGATTAGGTGGTAAGAGGGGCAGCTGCCTCGGCTATTCTGAATGCACAGATATTCCTGATAAAACACACGTATTGTGACTACACCGAGCATTGTACTAAATGCTTGCCATGGCTTATCTCATTTAACCATCCGAGGAGCTGAGTTATCTGCATTTCACGGAGGCCCTGGCAAGCGGACCAACCAGAGGTCAGCATGAGGGCAGGTCTGGACTTGAATGACATCCATCACATCAGCTGCGAGGGCATACCTGGGCCTGCCGGAGCGCAGGGCTGGCCGGCAGGGGTCTGGCGGGGACGAGGGGTGCACGAGGTGCCTTCTGGAGGGGCGGGAGCACTCGCTGAGGAGAACTGGGCGGAGGGGCGTCGTGGGCTTGGAGGGGCCCGCTGATGTGCACGTTCTGACACGGGGACCATCTCCTGGTATTGCCCTGCAGAGGGGAGCAAAAGCCATGGTGTCACAGGAGTCACCATTCCCCGGGAGGGGGCGGTGCTGACTGGTCGGGCATTCTCCTGAGAGGGAGCCCATCGTTACTTGTGCAAACTTCACAGCTGGAGCAGAAGCACCCTCTGACCCAATCTGGAATAGTGGGTTTCTCCCAGAATTTTAAAAACTGGTTTAATTCATCAACAAATAGGCACAGGACACCTCGGCAGGCGCCAACAAGTATGACGACACAGACTACATCTGAAGGAAAGGATGGAGGAGTTGTGAACTGAGGCAGTGGGTGATGCCCTCCAGGCTCAGGGAGAACCAAGGAAACCCCTGGGAAGGACGATGGAGGCTTCTGGAAGCCGGCTGAGGTGAGGGGCCTGTACCTGGAGGGTCACCACCTACATGGTGCTTCTGCTTTTAGGGCAGATCAGAACAGATGCCTCATGCCCCCCCACCCTCCCTCTTTTCCTCCTTTCTCTTTTTCTAAAAACAACTTAATTGAGGTTCCCGGAAAGACGGCTAATTGCACATAGCGAAACCGGGAGAAGTGGGAAACTTTGACATGTGTCCACACCAGTGAAACCATCACAACGAGCAAGATAATGACATACGCTCACCATCACCCTTGCCTCCCACTCCTCCCCATCTCCCCTTCCCTCCAACTACTGGTCTGCTTTCTGCCACCGTGAAATAGTTTGCATTTTCTAGAATTCCACAGAAACGGCATCATAGAGTATGGACTCTTCTTTTTACTTGGTATAATTATCTCGAGATTCATCTATGATGTCATATATATTAATAGTTAATTCTCTCCTATTGCTGAATAGCATTGCATGTGTAAATAGACCAAAGTTTGTTTATCCTTTTACCTGTTGTTGGAAATTTGGGTCATTTCCCATTTTTTGGCTCTTCAAAAGAAAGCTGTGTCTTTGGCTCTCACCAGTAAAGCTGGTGGTTCTTGCTATATAGTCCCACATTTGGGGCTGAGAGGTGGTAAAGCATATTAGGAACCCAGTTCCTATAAACTTTTTATAGCAACGGAGATAAAATAGCTTATGATTTATCAAATAAGTGATAGTTCTATTTAAAATCATTTGTCATTTCTTGACACCAACACTGTCACTCATAATTTGGACTCTTGTTGAATGAGTCCAATATTCAAAAATTCTCATGCATACGGCAGAAATACTTGATGGGGATACCTAAATATTGGAGTGGACTCTGGTGATAATTCACAAGGAAGCAGGAAAGGTCAGAGCCAGGAGGAGACCAGCAGGTTAAGGACTTGGGGTTTGGACCGGCTCTTTGAAACCACAGGGTAGAGTAGACAGAGCTTACACAGCCCTGAGCTGGAGCAAAAGGGGCCTAGCCATGGGCTCCATGTAACACTTAGAAATGCATGGGGAGGTACAGGGCCAAAGAGGATTCAGACCTTGCTGGCGGCGTCTGAAACCAGAGGAGGGGCCCAGAGGAAGGAACCTGCTTGGGAGGCAGACCCAGTGGGCCTCCTGGGAATTAGGTCTGGGTGTTTGGAGGGATCATGGCCCATGACATACCACATAGCACATCACACCGGGGACACCGCCTCAACTGGATCTCGGAGAGCTTCCATGGGGCAGAGTGGGCCGTGGAAGAAGTGGAAGGAGCCCCCAGCCATTACGTCATGAAGTGGGTGGACTCCACATTTCAGGGATCTGGTCCCATCACAAACTATCTGTAGATCTTTGGGATCTATTCCTACTCAAGCTCTTCTGAGAAACCCATGTCACAAGGCACCCACGAACTTCTCACGTTTGTCAACAGCTTACCTTTGACATGCTGGAATGTGGCAGCTTCCTCATCAGGCCTTTGCTGAGGGGGCCGAGGTGAGCCTGACCAGGGTGGGAGCCGCGAGACGGCCGTGAAGAGCGCACACACCTGCAACACAATCGCGTTACACGTAAACAGTTGCGTTTCCCCTCTGGTTGACTTGACTTTTTCTGATCTGTTCACAATCACGCTCGAAAAAATAATTGACTTATTTTAACTCAATAAGGAAAAATTATCTAACATTCTTACGAGATTAAAAAATATATATTGATTTTTTTTTCCCCAAAGCCACTACTCTGTGAAATTAGTTTTTGCAATTTATAGACACGTGGCTCTGAGACCCCTGGGAGTTATTTGGTAGAAAGAGGCCATTTCAGCAAGATTGTCTTCGAATACATTTAGATCCCAAGCTACCCCAGCTGACGAAAATATTTTAAGATCCTGTGTCTTGCAAAAATTACTAATATAAGGGTGGGAACAAATGCATCAGTGCGATTCAGCCTGCTTACTCATGGAACGAGCAGCAAACAGTCTGAAGGGAAAGGAAAGGAGGCAGCTGGTCTGGCAAAGATTTTAAAAAACCAAAACAACGGTTTTACTATCTAAAAATCTGACCTCTTTCTTTGCTAAGGAAAACAAAGCGAGAAGAGGAGCCGTTGCCTGTGCGTTGCTTGCAAATGCCGTCTCTGGAAAAGATGACCCAAACCCAGCGTACCTTAGCTTCTCAATGGTGGTTTTTTTATCTGTAAACAGCAGGTGAATTAATGTCTTCCTTTTCAGATAAACTACAAATCCAGCAGCAAGAAGACAGAGGATGGCCACCAGAATTCCTATGGTTAAACCGTGGTTATCTGAAACAAAACACATTTTGCTCAGGCAAAGAGAGTCATGATGAAATACGGGAAGTATCAGATCGTGGCCCTCACGGCCCCGCGAGCTCTGAAGGAAGGAGCAGGAATGCCGTGAGTAGATGTACTGATATGTTGGTCTTAGTTCAAAGGTCATTGTCTGAGGTTCAGTCTGCATCGCCAGTGATGCATTTCTGACAACTCTTGATAAACGGGAATGTCGTCTGGCAGGTGGGACCATAGCCCTGACCACATGCTGCCCCCAAACCTCCCACTGCCCCGTGGACATGGTGGCCACAGATGGTGGTAGGGAGCCGGCACGTCCCTGGACAGTGACCTCTCCAGCCCCCATCACAGATACGCTCCTTCCCACGCCCTCCTCCTCTCATTCTTTAGCGCTGGGGTCTGTGTTTATTTTTTTAGACCAAGACTCTACTTCTGGACATTGTCAAAATAGGTGAGAAAGCCCCACAAAATCCATAGCTAAAAGGAAAGGCCCACGGGTTTGCTTCTGTTAGATTTCGTTGTGTTTGTTACGTTAGGGACTCAAGTTACAGGTTTTGGGGGGCAAACCCCTTTCCCTGGGAGGGTACTTTTTATTTTCTCCAAGGGAACATCCCTTTTCTGGGATTTGCTCCCATTTTGTTCAGTACAAAGACACTGAGAAGCCCCCCTGAAGGGTGTGGAAGAGAAGGGAAAGTCAAAGCTTCAGGCTGGTTTCTGGCCACAGAAAGAGCCCCGGGGATGACCCTGCCAGGCTGGAGAGGAGCTGGACCGGCAGCTCCCACTGCTCTGTGGAGTCCTTGAGAGCACAGATGTGGGGTTCATGGGTCTCTGTCCCCCACCAACAACAAGCAGGGCGCGCCTCCCCGGCAGGTGAGCCACAGTCCCCTCCGGCTGCTGGGGACAGCTGCGCAGGTGCCGGTCACCCCCCCTGCTGCTGGCTAAGATGCTCACCGGGGCTGACTGCCAGGGAAAGAACGCCTCCCACCCTGTTTCTGGACTTCATCCCCAACTGACAAGTCCTATCAGGGATGTGTCTCAGCCTAAGTAAGACAATCAACACATGACAGTCTTGATTCCCTTGTTAGTGTTACTGGAAAAGCCCTGCTTCTGGGTTTCCGGCCAAAACGTCATTCTTTTCAGACGGGGGCTCTGGCTAGAGCGCTGTTGTGTCTTCACAAAGCTAATGAATGAAGTGAGCAGCTACAGCACGAGCCACAATTTCCAGCTCCTCGCAATCAATCCGCAAGTCTTAAGCTGATCGGCGCAGCCCTCGAACCGTTCCTACGCCATGAACGTGGCTGCACCATCCGGGCCGCCTGCCGTCGTCTGTCGCAGCGCATGCCGTCACGCCGCTCAAGCCAGCAAACCGGGGCCCCCGGTCCCCTCTCCCGGTGCAAACACCAGGTCCCATGTGGCTCCCCACGTTGGCCCACCTCCAAGTCCCCTGGTCTCCCGTCCCTTGGCAGTGCTCTTGCTGGGCCACGCTGGGCCTGCTCCGTGTCTCTGGGCCCTGGAAGAGAGGCTGGCACACGGCAGGTGCTCGAGAAGTCACAGTCAGGCTGAGGGGCGGTGGGGGCAGGGAGGCTCAGGACAGAGCTCCCCACGCCTGCCTCTTTGTGTGCATTTAAGTGTACTTTCATGCAGTCATAGGGGCAGGGGACCGAGGCACGGATGCTTCCTTGCTCCAGTGAAGGACAGGCGACCTCGGACTCCCTGGCTAATGGGAAGCCCCCACACGCGAGTACCGCGGTCAGTACCAGAGCGTCCTGGCCAATCCCCTCCAACCCCGATGTCGGGGGAACGGGGGCCTGTGCCCCTATCTAAGCAAAAGCTAGAATCCTGCCAGGTGAGCACGACACACGCTTTCTGCCGGCTCCAGATGTCAACTGCAGGGCAGGGAACGTGCTGTGGTCAGGGCGGAGACGTCAGCGAGGAAAGGGGACGCCGGCCCAGGGCTGCTTTCCGGCCCCCCCCACCTCCCAGAAGGAATGCTCACTAGACAGCAAGACTTTCTGGTCCTTTTTGTACTTGCTGCGGGGCCTGGACCTGAGGGCATGGTCGCCTGGAGTCTCTGAGAGGGACGCTGAGACCCGACCGGGTTTAAGGAGAAGGATGATCAGGAACTCATGACACTTTCTGCAGATGTGCCCCTGGGGCAGGTCCTCCCTCTCCCCCCATCCCAGCACTGTCCTCACCGCCTGGCCCCGCAGAGCAGCGTTATGTCTGTCGTCTTTAAGACGTGGTGACGCCACCACCAGTTACAGCAGGACATGAGGACATGGGGTGTCCCCTGTAGCAGCACAGCCACCGAGTGAACGTCTGAGCATCACGGGGCTCAGGTGAGCACCAATTGTCAGCACAAGTGGCCTCGGGGCCGGCCCTCTGCACCTTTTTGTTTCTTTCCCTTTACAAGGGGTGTTGTTCACTTGCCTCTTCCCTGCCTGACAGGTGCTCAGAGAGAGCCGCAAGGCACCTGGAGACCATGCGTCAAGGTCACCCCGGGAGAAAAGCAGTGGGGAGCAAGCGCAGCTGCTAGGAGGGTTTCTTTTTAGGGGGAGAGGGACTTGCTCTCAATCGTAGCTGTGTGGCTTTGGGGAAGTTACTTATCTCCCCCGAGCCCCAGGTCCTTTATTTGTAAGGAAGGAAGAATGATAGTGGCTTGGGCGTGAGGCAAGCGTCTGAGGAGATCGGGCAAATGCAGCCGACGCCCAGCACGGTGACTGCACCGCACAGCTGCTCAGTGCACAGAAGCCTTCTTGCTTCCCCCAGGGACTGCTGGGGCCGCCGACCCAGACTAGGAGGTGACTCTCTAGTAGGCGTTTTAGGAGACATTTGGCCTCGCACCTCTTGGTCCTCCATGCACTGACGCTGGGCTTTACAAAGTCCTTTTATCTCACACCCAAGTTTGTACCCGTTTGGCAGCCCCCTGTCAAAATGACCTTGGCTAAGCAAAGTGTCATAGGTGAACAAGGGACAGAGTCAGCCACTCAGCCAGAGCGGAGTGAGGACCTTGGCAAAGGTCAAGACGGGACAGAGCCTGGACATGGGCCTCGGGCTGTGTCAGGCCCTTGTGGGGGTGCACTGGGCTTCCCCCTGGGGGCGGTTATACCTGCACACCCACAGACCACTGGTGAGCCCTCCGTCTTGTTTGGAAAGATCAGCACCTGCCTTCCCACAGTCCCCCTGATCACTCAGCACCCACTCCTGGGGGCATGCTGTCCCTGCTCACCTGCTCGCCGGACGGGGCCGCTGTCTGTGCTTCCCCCGAAGCCAAACTTGTCACAGAACGGAGGCGCCCAGTGGGCCTCGCAGTGGCAGTTCTTGCGGTTGTTACACACCTGTCCAGGCCACGGGGGAGGGGGACACCGAGAAAGAGGAGTAGCATTAGAACCCGCCCTCCATGAGGGGCAGTGGCAAATCTCTGAGCTCTAATTGGCTACCACACGGAAGCAAAGGCCCTGTGGTCAGAGTTCCCTCGAGCACTGAATACACAGGTGGGACCAGAGCCCAAGGCTGCGTATGTAACAATCTGCCTCTTGGCTGCTGTCAGGGCAATGCTGGAGATTGGGGGGGGGGGGGGCATCCACTGCTTCCCACCCCTTTTCCCTCCAACAACTGCTATGTCCTCGTTTTCTTTTTCTTTTTTACGTGTCTTTTCAAGTCAGAATCTTCCCCCCCGCCCAATGACCACAATGAGAAGCCCCCTCCATGGTAAGGAGCGACCCCGCTTCAGGGCTGCGGAATCCGAGCCCTCGGCCATCCCAGGCCTGACAACCTATGGGCACAGCCATGCCTCCTGCAGACACGAAGTTCGGAGAGGTGGTGGACCCGCTCCGATGTCTCATGCCTGCAATGCCCACCTGCCTGGGGAGTCTCCCAGCGGCCCCTCCTTGCCTCTCAGCCCCGCGGACTGGCCACAGCCGACCAAACCCTGGGGTCTTCGTGGCAGGAAAGGGGTGCTGAGAAAGCAGGAGGATGGGCTTCACTCTGGGATAGGGGGCCAGAGCCCCCCAGGGAGGGGCCAGCTCCAGCTCACCTGGTTAGCAAGGGTGACCGATGGAGGCGGCTCCCCTAGCCTGAGCTGGCCGTCAGACCCCCTGTCATTACTATGGAACTTACGGAGCTCCTGCACGCGCAAGGGGCACAGGAGCTCGGAAACAAGAGGATATTGTTTCTCTGAAAACGGGGGGCATGCTGTGGGCACACTGGATATGGGCAAGTCGCTAAGAAGAGCTTCTGACACATCTGGAATGGGTCACCTGCAAATGACCCTGCAGGGCTGCTCGGACCAGGAAGGATTCCGCAGTCGGGTTGCATCTGAGCATCCGGGTTCTCTTCCGCTTACAGAAGCGAACTGTGCATTGCAGATGACGGGCTTTGCGTGGTTTATATAAGTCAGTGCAGACCTACAGTCAGACACCCATCCCAGAGGCCTCAGCCCTGCATCCGACTATTGCTGGATGGGGCCGAACACATACTTCTCTATTTAAGGCAAAAATAAAATGTTTGGAGTAGAGGTCTCATTTGTGATGTTTTCCTGCTTTCACTGATTTTTGTGTTGCTATTGATGATCCAAACATCAAAAGCCCCAACTGGGTGCCTGGGTGGCTCAGTGGGTTAGAGCCTCTGCCTTCAGCTCAGGTCAAGACCTCAGGGTCCTGGGATCGAGCCCCACATCGGGCTCTCTACTCAGCAGGGAGCTTGCTTCCCCCACATGCCCCCGCCTGACTCTCTGCCTACTTGTGATCTCTTTCTCCCTGATAAATAAATAAAATCTTAAAAAAAAAAGCCCAATTCCTTAAAATAAGACCAACAGTCCAGACAACCTGTGATAAGTTGGAAGCTATATTCCTATAAAGCTAAACCCCTGCGGCATTGGTGACTGAGTGGCCCGGCCTGTGCTGACACTGAGCGTCTTGCCTGTCTCTCAAAGACGCTGTTGCTGACCTACCACCTGCCACACACCTGCGAGGATTCGGGCCCGGCGCTGCCCACTCCATTTTGCACAGTCTCCCAATGCAAACTGGAGTCAGGTGCCCTTTTGGCAGCTGACAGTAGAAAGACTGGCAGCTTTGCTGTCCCCTTTGGAGGCACAGCTGGTGAGCCTGGTCTCACTCGGGGAAGGGCTGTGGTCAAGTGACTCATCACCAAGTCACGGCAACTGTTCCGTCAGTGTGGGCCTTTCCTCTCCAACATGTGGATGGGAGCCCAGGGACGCTGTCAGGTGAGGAGCCCAGGGTCCACCCCCCAGCATGCCTGCTACCTGGTCACGTGATCTTGGACAGGCACTACTGCCTCTTGGTCCCGGGCTCCTTCATAATGAGGCTGCACCAGACTATCTCTTAGGGCCATTAGAAAGAAATCTATGATCCAACGAAGACATAAAAGGATTTTGTTTTATATTGACAAATATTTATATATTTGTATTATATTATAGTTGTCAGCTACACTCGCAGTCAACAAACCGGCCAGAGATGGCATTGCAATCCTTCATGGTTAGAGCACAATCGCCATTTTATGAAAACCCCATAATTCTATGTTAGAATCATTGGTGAGTGTCTGCAAGTTTTAAAAATAGAATTGGGAGCATGATTTCTGCAGAGAGGGTTTCAGAAAAACAAATGAACCCCTGGCATGGCTAACCAAGATTAATATGATTCCCATTGGAAATAATTAAGCCCATCAGAAAAAAACAAATTATGTTTTAAACAGTTAGAGTCCTCTTCTCTCCTAAAAAAATTCTCTGAACTAAAGTAACCACTTTCTTTAGCTGAAATGCATTGTGTGAGATTTCAAGAACACGTCATCAGTATGTTCTGTCTCCCTTGGTTTAACTGCTTTTGGAAGTGTTTCCGTTCAGACCCATGCTCTGAATCTTGGTCCTTAAGAGAGACAGCTCTGTTCGAAACCGTAAGGCAAAATCCTTTACGCAGGAAGGTGAGTTTTAAAACTACTTTGAAGATGACAAAGTCCCTTTTTAAAAATCACAGGATGCTCATCTGAGAGATAATTATGGCTCCATCTGATTTTCTCTGTTAAATAAAAGTCACATTTCTCCTGCTACGTAAAGGTCAGAGAAAATTAGTGTCTTTAGAAGAAAGCACGGAAGCGACAGCTATATTTTTTTAGAAGTTGCAGATTGCAGAATCCTTTACAAACAAACGATTTGGTGCTTTGCTTGCTAGGGACGGGCTACAGGAAGCCCACTGGGCCACTCACCCCTCTTTGGTGACACTGCTTCACACACTCCTGAACGCCGAAGACACTTGTGTTTTGACAGCGACGATTGAGGCAAATCTGCGGAAGGAGGAAAACACGGTAAACGTCTCAGCCCCTTTCCAACCACACGCACCATATCCGTGATCTCAAAAGGGAAAGCAAAGAAAAGTTTGAGGAAGATGATTTTCCTTCAGCTCCTACGGGGACAGCACAGCGATGCCCTTTCCATCTACCTCTGACCTGGATTTGAGCACCTGCTTGTGGACTTGGCACATTTCAGGACTCAGGTCAATGTGGTGCTTCATATGGTTTCGTCAATTAGGAGATGAGGATAACTGATTTTTGTTTAGAGCTTGCAACAAAACCTATGAATTACGGCATCTCCATACCCCCCCAACACTGACCCCCCACCTGCTCCTTCCATTGAAAGATAAAGAGAGAAGAAATGTACCAGCCCTCAACCTGGGGCCTGTGCAGACTCAGAGACTCCAAGAATCCAGGTCCAAAAACCTTTTAAAGGAGATACTGACACATGGGAACGTTTCCAAATTACTGACCCACAAGCACTGTCACTGCCACGAACCATCAAGGAAAAGGCTCAGTGGAGGAAAACAGACAGTTCCCTTGTGTTTCTCAAGCCTTTGCAGGGGTGGTAGTTTCCTAAACCATACCATGCTGGTTGCAGGAGTGTAGTCTTATCTTAAAGGTGCCTAACATACTCCAGACTCAAAGGATCAGACCCTTTATTTCCTCTAAGATGTTACAAATTAGTGGAGGCAGAGGAAGAGAAGTCTAATTTTTAGATTGCAGAAGCATTTCTGATTGAGTAGAACCTCCCTACGGGAAGTTCGTACCAATGACGCACTTTGAAAATAGTGCCAGTTGCCCAGGACAACTCCCAGGGCTGCTGGGAATCTTGGTCAAGGGGACTGTCACATTCCAGCTGACAAAAGAAACTGAGGTTACAGAGAACGCAGCAGGACCCGGGTCAGAACCCCTGCATACGGGTGCCGCTCTCCTCTCAACCCACGAGCAATGAAGGCCAAGGACAGCTTTCAAAGAACTCGTGTTCTGCAGGAACGGAGATGGAAGTGCATTTACTCTTGCACATGGAGGAAAAACCTCATTGACAAATCGAGGCCTTGGAATTTCAGTGTTCAGACGCACCCAGTTCTGGCTTCTGGCTGCTCAGACTACAGTTTAAAATATGAGTGTCATTCTAATGTCAATGCCAGAAAAGAAGCTGACATGTGTGGTTAAGGAGACCCCAGGAATGTACATTGTGTTTCATGTACCATCATCCCATTTCCTCCGGGACAAGACAGTTGTGGCTCAGAGTATATGACTGAACGGGGCTGAGGGCACAGAACTCTTGCTCTGGGGACTTGGCCACGGAGCTGAATCTATCTTTCTATTTTATGACTTTCTATTCTGTGACCTCCATGTTCATGAATGATTTCATAATCATTTTGAAAGTGGGGGTCCTAAAAAAAGGTATGTTGATTAATCCTCTCTCCTAAAATGTTTTATTAACTTGCTTTCATTTAGCCTGACAAGAAAGTCTGCTGAGAAAAATCAATGTGGCAGAATGTTAAAGAGAAACCTCAATTTCTTGTTTTGACTTTTCACTTTTGACTTTCTTTCTAAACCCCCAAGTATCGCTGTCCGCTTTTCCCCCTGCTCTCCAAAAGACCTCCCTTTGGCTTCAAGCTGATTCTCTCTCTCTTCCCCTCTCCTATTCTCTCTATGGGGGTCTCTGAAAATACATATGACTTCTCGCTCTGTCCAGGTGAGAACAAGCCGTCACTGTGCCAAAAACCAAGGCCGCATTTCCAAAAACAATATAATAGGCTACTGTGTTTGCTTCCAAAGTAATTTCCTGGCTGGAAACACTCCTGACGCCCAGAGTGTAGAAATGACTTACTAACACTCAAAGACTGAGAAACCGAGCTTGATTTTCCCAAATCTGCATCTCCATGGTTAGGCCAGGATCTAGGATTTATTAACTTTGCCTTCGAGGTGCAAAGAACTGGATTCCAGAGACAAAGTTCTAGGAAGGAGTAGATTTAGGAAAACAAACCGACCTCCTGAGTCAGTTCCTGGACAGGACGCTTCTCCACAGGCCCCTTCCAGACTTACTTTTATGATGCGAGTGAACATGTGGGTCTTACTTTTCCATCTGCACACTTGGTGCCGGCAAGCACAAGCCCGGGGTCCGGGAGGTCATCGCCCAAGTACACGTGGGTCCCGCGGCACAGAATCCGACCTCCTTCCCGCAGCGGGATGTTTGTTTCTATGGAGACGGCATTGGTACCAATGACGGGCCGGCTGGCACCTCCTTGACACTGGATTTTTCCACATTTAGCATCTCTGCAAGGGCGAGAACAAACAGTCCCCGAAGAGGGCAAGTCTGCGACCGGCTCTGAACCACGTGGGAAGATCAAAGCGATGACGTGCTTGGGCTGCGGGTTCCGTACCTCATCTCACATTTGGCAAATGAACTCTTGGAGTCTTTGCCACAGTTGCCGTACGGGTCACCTGCAGAGTTGACTCTCTCAAAGCAGATCCCGGGGGCAGGTTTAGCACCTGAAACAGAAGTCAAGCAGCACTTCCACCTCCTGCAAGGGTTGCTAATAATTTGTCGCTGACCGGCGCTGGGATTTCAGGTTAAGGGGAGATGGGTTTGGTGTGCAGAGAAATCACGCCTGCACCTTGGCTGACTCCTGAGATGAGCGGGCCAGGGGCAGCCTACCACCCTCGCCTGGTGTCGCTCGTGGTAAAGCCTGCATTTCCTAGCTCATTCTTCTCTGGGCGGCTCTCTGGGCCCAGGGTGCGCAGCCTTTCAGGAGATGTGGCCTGGCTATGGGACCAGACCTGACCCAGCGCAGAAAAAAGGGGGCTAGCTGGCCTCAGGCGCAAGGGAGTGTGCTCTCTTTAATGGCATCTCCTACAATTCTGGTGAGAAAACACACGCTAGAGCGGGCTCAAAGGAATAATGATGACTATGGGGGGATGCAGGGAGAGAGGGAGGGAGCAAACAAGCAACACAGAGATCTTACACAACATTTTCAGTCCTATAAAGCTCCCTCTGAGAGCAAGCCCTAGCGTCAGTTAGGGCCCATGTTAGCAAGGCAGAGAGTGCTCTCAGAGGCCAGCGTGGGACAAACCCCACAGTCATTTTGCACGGAATGACAGTGCCCAGTAGAGAGGCATGTGGGATCCAGGGAGCGCAGGACATGGGCATTCCTAGCACATCTTTTGGCCAGGGAAAGAGTGACCTTGTGCTTTGGAATTCACACGGCCAAAGCTTTAGAGAGTTCTTAGATCCTAGGCAAAGGGACACCTGTTGAAGACGATGTGAGAAATTCAGGAAAATGGTCTATACTCTTCAGAATAAACTGTGCCTTGTGGTGTGGGCTTGACCGACCTTCTTTCCTATACTGGTGTCCAGGTGGGTGCTCTTTCTAGTAACCTTTCCAACTGCCAGGATGCCCACTTCCCAGAACTCACTCTGTCCTTCACCTTTCTCTGCACCCAACTCTGGGGAAGCTCCCTACACTTCCCAAGGTGACAACTGACTTATCTAAGATACCAGTCTAACGATGGACAAGGGAACAGAAGACGTTGTTATTTCTAAAAATTTCTTTCTTTAACCTGCACCTGATTCCTCTTCATCAGGCAGGAGCAGACATGATCCCCCTCTCATTTAAAAAACAACAGACAAATCAAACCAAACAAAACCCTTGCAACAGTTGAGATGGGCTGTGGGTTCAGCCATTGGCCTCTGTGGTGAGGTACTAGAGTCCCGAACCTCTCACTTGCCCATTCTCTGTTTTTTTTTTTTAAAAACCATGTTGAGACACCTCTCCAACTCATTTTTAAGGGTATGACGGCAAACAGGACACAGTTCTCGGTCATGGGAAAAGGCCAGGTCTCTGGCTCGGAAGCATCACAGTCTTTTCCTGGTACCCTGGGTTCCCATTTCTGCTCGCAGCGTGGTTACACCACTGACCTGCTCAGCTTCTGCCTACTACAGGTCCAATTCTTCCATGTCCTCCCACCTTATTCTTGTTCCTCTACCCACTGCAGGTGGGAAGATGGGGAGGGCGTGTCGAGCCTGTGTTCTGTTTGATGGTACTTTGATCAAAATACCTGGATCTAATTGATCAGTTTTAGAAAAACTGGCATCTAGAATATATCAACAACTCAATGGTTGTTTGTGTATTCGCATGGACTCAATGTACTTGTTACTTGCCTATCTGGTTTTCTCTTTCTCTTTCCTTCTTTACTTTTTCCTATTCTTTCCTTCCTTCTGTCCATCCGTCCGTCCATCCATCCTCCCATCATGTTGCGCACTACATTCACACACACAGTTATCTGGCCCTCACTATCTGCCAGGCCCTGGGGGTGTAGGGGTTGACTACTGTGGACAAAGCCTCCTGCTTGCTCTCAAGTTGCAAGGAAAAAAGTGCAAGCAAATGAGTATCTTCCTCTCAAGTCCCGGGTTGGGGAGTGTTATGAAGGAATCAACCAAGTCGGAGCGCCCAGGGGGCTGTTGCGTTAAGCAGGCTGGTCAGGAAAGAACTCTTAGAGGAGGGACAATGAGCTGAATTCCACACCTCAATCCTACCAAGGATCCTAAGAGGCAGGTCTCATTATCCCGTTTTATGGACAAGAAAACTAGAACCCAGGAGGTTAAATATGTGGCTTAAAGCCAGGCAGCGGGGCTGCCGGAGGGTGGAGCTCAGCCTGTCCTCTCTGGTGCTCTGAGGTGTATCAAGGCCCCACCCGGTCTAGGTCCTGCACGGGCCTTGGGGACAGAGAGCAGAAGACCTGAACTGCATCCGCCCCCATTGCTGAGTGGAGAGCCATGCTGGTATGTGTGTGTAGACAGGGCAAGAGCTGTAATGGATACTCTCATGCCGCTCAAGTGATCCCAGACTTAGGCGGATGTGAGATAGGGAGCTCCTTCTACGTGCTGTAAGGCCGATGGAAAAGGCTTCAGTCCTTCTTTCCCTGCCTTGGAAGACCCGCCAGGATAAAGGAGTGCCAGCAGGTCCTGGCGGATGCTGAGCTCCGGAACTGGGGAGGCAGAATTGGTATCTCTCTGCTACTGATGCTGGGTCAATGCTTCATAGGGTCTGTCGTGCTTGCTCTTATCAAGTAATTTATCCACTGGGAAATGTGGTCACTTTAAAAAAAAAAAAAACAAAAAAAACCTTGCTGCTATTTGAATGTGTTCATTGATTAATTTGTTTTCCTGGTAGGGAAAAAAGAGATAAAAGAGATTTTATACGTGTGTGTGTGCATGCATGCGAGCGCGCGCGCGCGTGTGTGTGTAGAGATTTCCAATCCGTTTCAGACACACGAGCTCGCGAACAGCTAGAAGGTAGGATTGGAGGAGGGCTGGACTGGGGTGTGCAGAAGGGTAAGACGAAGAGGGAAAGAGACCAGTTGCCACCACGATTTAAAACAAACGGGCACATTTTATGTAGGAATACCACAGAAAGTGGCTAAAACAGGAAATCAAGCAAGGGGGTACAAATAGTATTTAAGCAAGAATAAAATGTTTAGAAGAGAAAACCAATGCTAGGTCACTGTTTGGGAATGTGGACCTGGAAATTTGATAAAACTGTGTCTTCTAGGGCAGGGGACCTTGGGATTCTAATGCCCCAAATGTCAGTGGGCTGTCTGGCCTGGAAAACCAGGTGTGTGTGTAAATCCCTAGGGGCAATAGAACAGCATTAGTGTTTTCTGATAACTGTGAAGTGCTGTGCGTGCCCCAGTAGGTCACAACACACTTAAAGAGAGTTGCCATTTTCCCACAGAGAAATGGCCCAGAAATGTTGATGGCAAATTTGAATACATGAATTTTTAGCAACATGGATGACAGATTCCAAACTACTACAACATACTATCCATTAACTTGGTGAAAAATATTGAAAAGTCCCATTTTAATAAAGAAATATTACTTTTTCTTTTACTCTCCTATATCATGAAACAAAGCTACTCAATGTCTTTACATTTCTCTTTGGTCTCAAGGTCTTTGGTTGACTGATCTTTGACAAAGGTGCCAAGAAAGCCCAACGGGAAAGAGTAATCTCTTTAACAAATGGTGCTGGGAAAACTGGATATCCATATGCAAAAGAATAAACCAAACCCTTATCTTCTACTGCTGCAAAAATGAAGTAAAAAATGGAGTCACGACTTAAATGTAAGACTTAAAACTTACAGTTTCAAGAAAATATAGGGGAAAAGCTCCTTGACATTGGTCTTGGCAAAGATTTCTTGGACATGACACAAAAAGCACAGGTAACAAAAGCAAAGATAGACAAATGGGAATACATTGAACTAAAAAGCTTCCTTACAGTAAAGGAAAAATAATCAACAAAATGGAAGGCAACCTACAGAATGGGAAGAAATGTTTGTAAACCATCTATTTGACAAGGGGATAATACACAAAATACATAGGGAACTCCTAGAACTCAACAGCAAAAGAAGAAAAAAGAAAAAAGAAAAAAGTCCCAAATAACCAGATTAAAGAATGGGCAAAGGAACTGAATAGACACGTCTTCCAAGAAGACATAAAAGGGCCAACAGTTATACAAAAAGACACTCAGCGTCTCTGATGATCAGGGAGATGCAAATCAAAAGCACAATGAGACATCACTTCATATCAGTCTGAATGGCTAGTATAAAAAAAAAAAAAAGCAAAAGATAACAAGTATTGGCAAGGATGTTGAGAAAAGGAAGCACTTGTACCCTTGTACCGTACATTGTGGGGATGCAAACTGAGATGGCCTTTGTAGAAAACAGTATGGAAATCCCTCAAAAAATTAAAAAAATAAAACTGTCATATCACCAGTGGTCCTACTTCTAGGTATATATCCAAAGGAGCTGAAATCAGGATCCGGAAGAGATTTCTCAACTCCCGTGTTCACTACAACTTTATTCACAACGCCCAAGACATGGAACCAAACTGTGTCCACTGATGGACAAATGGATAAAGAAAACGTAGTAGGCACACAGAGTGGAAGACGACTCAGCCTTAAAAAGAAGGAAATCCTGCCGTTTGAGACAACGTGGATAAGCCTGGATGACATTACCCTAAGAGAAATCAGTCAGATACAGAAAGACAAATGCTGCACCATCTCCCTTATATGTGGAATCTGAAAAAGTTGAACTGATAAAAGCAGAGAGTAGAATGGTGGTTGCCAGGAGCTGGGGGAAGGGACGTGCTTGGGGGAGGCATTAGTCAAAGAGTGCAAAGTTTCAGTTACGCAAAGCAAGTCCTAGAAATCTACTGTACAACAGAGTCTACAGTTAATAATACTCTTATGCTATGCTTAAAATTTTGCCAAGATGGTAGATTCTATGTTAAGTGTTCTCTCTCTCTCTCTCTCTCTCACACACACACACACACACACGAAGAGCCTAGGAAGAAACTTTTGGACATGATGAATGTGTTTCTGGCATCGGCCATGGTGAGGGTTTCTTGGATAAGTGTGTATTTCCAAGTTCATCAAGGCATGTGTATTCAATACCTACGGCTTCTTGTATGTCAGTCCAGTTGAGTAAAATTGTTA